TGATGCTAAGCTGTCTGACAAAACAATTATACCTTCTCTTAATAGATTTATTTCCTATATTACAGTAAATAGAAAAAACAGTTAATGTGGAATTTAAGAGCTTGAACTCTGAGCCAAGGAGACCTGGATACAAATCTTGGTTCTGCCATTTAATAGCTGTGTGATTTGGGTCAAGTTTGTTGGCCTTCCTGAGTTTCAGTTTCCTTATCTGTAAAATGGAAATAGTAATAGTACTGGCCTCATAGGGTTTTGATGAAGGTTAAATAAAATAATACATATAAAATGTATACATAGCACAATGCCTAGCATATGTTAAGTGCTGAATATGCTAACCTTTGCTATAATCAAGAGATGGAATTATTTTTCTTTCTGAGATATTTTCAGTAATAGAGGATAAAGTAGTTTGTCTTACCTACTTCACCAGGATCTATCTAATTAGCTAGCTGAGGGGTGAAAGCTCTGAGTACTTTAATCTCAATAACTATGTTCATTGGTTAGCTCCGTAGTCAAGAATTTGATACCCACCCCAACTTTCCAGTCTAATAATTAAGAGTCAGTAGCTTCATTTTTAGCAGACATCTAGTGTTCTGTGACTCTTGAGTAGCAAACTAGATCAGTTTGTTTGCAGTTTGAAAGATACTGAAATATATCAGCAGGTGGACTCTATGTATTTTAGACACCATTTTGTCCATGGCACCAGAGCAAAACACTTGTCATATACAAGACATTCAACAAGTATTTGTTGATTGAGTGACTGAATTCTGTTACAATGGTAAAATGTATCTAGAGAAAAAAGTGAATTTTGCTGAGTGTTTTTTAAATTAGATTATATTTTTAAGACTTTCCTCCTCAATTTTTTATGAGAGTGCATGCTCTGGGAACTAGTTGCTAAAATTGGAAACTTGTCTGCCTCATTATGCGCCGAGTAAACCGTGAGCAAGTTATCTCCCCTCTCAATACCTTGGTTTCCTTAGTTATTAAATGAGCATAATAATAGGGTTACACAGTGTGGAGGAAGTGGGCTCATATAAGAGAAGTATTTAGAACAGTGTCCAGCAATATATTTGAGAAATCTTAATGTTGTTATTACTGTCCTTGCTATTACTACTACTGCTACTGCTGCTGCTATAGATTCAAGATCCCCTCAATATGGTGAATTCAATTTATTTGTTGTTACCTTTCCCTAAGTTTCACTGAAAACCTAATTTAAAAACACAAGTAGAATGCAACAAATATTGCATTGCATGTTAACTAACTAGAATTTAAATAAAATTTGGAAAATAAAATAAAATAAAATAAAATATAAAATAAAATAAAATAAAAATAGCAAACTTTGTCTGACATGTAATGTAACTGTAAATTTTCTAGGCTATTCTGCCTAGCCGACCATTAGGAAATTTTATTCTTCTATTTTCATTTTTTGAGGAACAAGTAAAGATGGATTTGTTTTGACTGAATGTGAAAATAATAATCATCAATATGGTTGCAGCATTTTCTCTCTGCTCATTCTGTGCTCATCTTTTTCCAGTTCCAAATATCATTTGCATGGACCTGATGATGTTGAGTATGGATATTGCCGCGGAGTGATAGCTTCCTTTTCATATTGAAGCTGAAGCTTCAAAGGGAAGATTAAAGAAGTGTTTGTTATCTATCTGCACAGGCCTGATATGAAATTCTCAGAGGCTTTTAGGATAAACACAGCTCTGTGTGTGTGTGTGTGTGTGTGTGTGTGTGTGTGTGTGTGTATGTGTGTGCGCGTGTGTGTGCGCGCGTGCGCGCGTGTGTGCATGTGCCTATGCTTTTTCTTCTATATAACTCTATTGTGGTATTTGCATTTTGGTTTAAAATTTCTAGTTTCAGACTTGTTGGAGTCTCCGGCTAAGGGATAATTGTTTTCAGAATGAAGGAAAAGAATTAGAAGCTGTTGGCTGGATTTGACTAAATGCCTCCTAAAGAGCATAGAATTCTCTAGTGTGGAGTCATCTTTCCAGAGAATGTGATGAAGGCCATCTATAGGATATGTTTAATGAAACAAGATCAAAACTTTAAATGTGTTGTGTTCAGCAAAGAATAATCCATAGTGCCCTGCAGTGAGGGATGAGGTTGCTCACCTTCTCGCCTTACTTCTAAAAAGAAGTATCCTCTGTGAGCTGTGGGGTAGAGGTATGTGTGTGAACAAACTTCTTGAGGGTTGTTGCACAATTAAGGCTTAGGGTAAGAAGAAAGGGGAAAGGTAGGGTGGCAGGATTGTTTTATACCTTCTGAAAATGAAGGGAACTAACATTCCACTTCATGCCATTCCACATCAAGTTCTACATATGATTTTTATTGGCAGAAATATTTAATTACAACGTCATCAAGATTAAAGTGGATTCTGCTATTTAACATCAACTAGATAGACCTGCTACTTTATTTAATACCATTAAGCTGAATTATTTCTTTGTAATCAGCCTTCATATGATACAGCTATGATTGGCAAAAGCAATACTCTTGGTGGGGTGCTTGGGTGGCTCAGTCAGTTGAATGTCCAACTCTTGATTTTGGCTCAGGTCATGATCCCAGGGTTGAAGGATCAAGCTCTGCGTTGGGCTCCATGCTGAGTGTGGAGCCTGCTTAAGATTCTCTCTCTCTTTCCTTCTGTTCATCTCCATCCCCTTTAAAATAAAATTAAAAAAATAAAACATAAGCGTTATGTGAACTTATAAGATCTTCTTAACTAAAAAGAGAAAGCAGGAACCCAGGGGCACTTTACAGTAGGTAGAGAGGGGAACTGAAGATATGTGTGTGCATTGTAGTAGGGGTTGTGGGGGAGAGAGGACAAAAGAAGAGGTTGAGATCATCAATAACATATTTTGCCTACTTAATAATTTGCCAAGAGTTGGCCTTTAAACTGCCACAGCATGGCTCCATTTTTTTTTCTGGGTCAATAAATGAGAACCACATTGGTTAGCAAAGTTCCTGCTGTTGCCTTCATATACATTTTGGCAAGAGAAGTGCACACACGCATGCATGCATACATGTGCACACACACACACACACACACACATACGCTTGCACAGACTCACATTCTAATTTCTATTTCTATTGAATTGGAGGTTGGGTAACTATAGGAATCAGGGGCTAGAGCTGTGGCACAAGAGAAGATGGAAAGTTGCTCATCCCTTTGATGATTTGCTTGATTAGCTGTTTTTTATAGAAAGGAGTTTTATGGAAAAACTCTTCACAGTGGCCAGGTACAGTGGGAAGCTGCGCTGTCTGCCAGGGCGAGATTGACCCATCATACTAATTTACAACTTAATACTAATACTAATGCAAATACTAATTTGCAACTTAAGTTACAGCCACTTTCAATCTCCATATGCCTTTATATCAGCATGGACACCCTTCTTCCCAGCTGTTGCTGCTATACCCTTCCCACCTCTTCCTCCTCTTATTCCCTCTCTGTCTTTCCACTGCACATGTCAGAGCTGTCCTGAACTTTCCCTGCCCTATCATCCAAGTATCTTACATTTCTCTTCACCTGATTGCCAGCCCGGAACTGTTCTGGGAAAAGAAAGGAATACGAGAAGTCAACCAGGAGGCTTCACCATCTTCTCTTCCTTATCTTTCGTAGTTTCCCACAAACTCATCTTGAATTATGGCAACATACTCCCCACTTATCTCCTTCTTTTCCATTTTCTGAATTTTTGTCTTATAAAGAAATAACCTAGATACTCACTGGGATGATACTCTCTCAAGTAGCCTCACCTTATTTCAGTTGTGGGTATGCTGGAAGACACTCCATTATTACCTATGTATTGCCTTTTTCTTAATCTTTTTTTGGGTTATGGATTTCTTTTAAGAATTTGATTTAAAAAATAACTCTGGACTCTCTCCCAAGGAAAAAGTTGCTCAAATGCACATACACATTCCTGAGACGTTAAGATGAGGATAGAAAAATATTCATTCTATTTAGTGGCATGGAATTCACTATGTCCATGACAGGAATTAATGTGTGGTTACTATAAGCAAGATTGGAGTATGTTGGGGAGTGAGTGGGAGGTGAGAAAACAGAGAGAAACTACAGACAACACTTCTTGAAAATTTCACTGTGATATGAAGGGAAAGAGGATAGCAGATGGAGGGATATGAAGAAAGTGAGGGAGGGTTTGCTTTATTTTTATACAAGCATAAATACTGATGGAAAGGGCCACATTGAGAGGAAGAGGTTGAATATATACAAAAGGAAATCAATACAGAATAATGTAAGGTTCCTGTGAAGGCAGGAGGAAATGGAATCCAAAGTACAGTAGACTTTTGTGGGTAGCCGCCATATATAACATTGCTTCTATGGGGGAAAGTGCTATTAGATTCCAAGTAGGTGACTTACAAATGATCCTTTCTGCTACTGCCATTTCATTAGGTTTAAGACTTTAAGGGTTGTTGGCTTTGCCAATGATATCCCAAAATAAAAGAGGCGATGGAATGACCCAGTGAATTGTAAGAGCCCCAGTCCTGGCATAGACACTCAAATGTTAGGTGACCTTAAGTCAGTTGTTTGGGTTTCACCTGTAAAATTAAGAATTTATGCCTAGAAGTATTTGAGGATGTTTTGGGGGTGGGGGGGATGCTGTTTGGCTGTCATTATAAGTGGGAGTGCCACTGGTGTTGGGTGCCAAGGACCAGTGATGCTGATTGTCCTGTAATACACAGGACAGGTTGTCACAACAAAGAATTGTCATACTCAAAGCCTGTAGGGCTCCTGATGAGAAACTCTGGACCATGGATGGCTAGGCAACCTCTTAGGACCTTTCCAGCAATATGGTCAAAATTTTCTGAGTTACAGTGAGTTAAATGTTGCCTTCAGGCCATTGAGAATCTTCCAGATCTCAGGGACTCTTTGGTTTTTCTCAGAGTGGGTAGTGGCTTGGCTGGTTATTGACTATTTAGCAAGCTTTTTGGGCTAGGTGCTGTATCTACCATATGTTTGACTTATTTCCATTCTTTTCCTTGTATTTCAGGTACTATTGGGATTTTCAGCCCCAAGGTGAGTGCTTTTTGACCATTTATGGTTTCACACTAAAAATGTGTGGATGGTATTGTTTACTTCTGTGTCTTCTAAACAAGCTTCTACACAGAATGGTATTAGCCATATCTAAGGAAAGTTAGTGGAGTGTTTAATTAACCTTCACCCTGCTGGGCTCCCCTGCCCTGCTTTTTAGCAACAAGAGGCTGTGATGCATCTGCCTTCTGAGTGGATTGGTGCTAGATTATTTTATCGAACCAAAGCTATAATATGCTTTTACTCCTTGAGCTTTGTTAGATGCCAACAGGATCCAGTAGCATTCAAATAAAATGGTGGCCGAGTCCATAATAAAAACCTTGGGAGGGCTCCAACTCAGCTAATCCTTCATTTGCTCCAGAAATAAATTCCAGTTTGTTACCTCCTTGGTCACAGTGGTCTTCCACACAGCCTGCCTGTCTGGCAGCAGAGAAATGTCAGAAATAGAGTAGTGTTGAAATTCCCACTAGAACAGTGTTATCACATTTTAATATGAGCCTCACTGCAGCCTCGGTGCTTCTAATTGCTTTCAAACCATTGTTTTCCTGCTTTTGCTTGATGAACCCAGCATCTGGCATGATTCTAAAAACTACAACAGACAGCTGTGTGCAAAATTAAAAAAAAAAAAAGGACAGGATTAGAACATATTTTTAAAAGGTTCAAAATTGGATTTTTTTTTGCCTGAATTCAGTTTGAGGGGGTGTCTTTCAACTATATGCATTTTTTTTTCCTTTTTAGTACTGAGAATGTCAGAAACCTCATTCTGAATATTGATTATTAACCTATTATAAATGGGGGATTTTCATTTTTTTCAGAGAATCACAGAGTGTTTTAGATCAAGCTTGCAAATAGTTTTATGAACTGTTTTGCTCTAAAACTTTTTTTTCCAGGTTTTTTTTTTTGCTCTTAATATTGTCAGTGTATCCATTGTCAGTGAGCAGTAATACCATAGAGAAATTCAAATTGTGAGGAATGATACTAGTTTTATGAAAGTTTTAATTTTCCTAGCTCACACTTTTAGTGTATTTCAAGTCTATATAAGGTTTTCTTTAAAAACAGTCAGAAATAAATACCTTACACTTTTAAAGGCTTTTGACTCTTATACATTGGTTGTAGTATTTATAATATTTTTTAATTTATAATATTTAAAATAATGTGATGTATTACTGTGTATCTCACTGTCCTAAAGCATTTATGGCTAAAAACATAGACTGACAATAGAGAATTATATGTAATAATGTAGCAGTTTGCTTTGCAGACTATGAAATATGCTCTTCAGGCAATGGCCCTCTATAGTTCAGGGTTTAACAGATGTTAACCAAAATCCACAGGGGCTAGAATGTGAATGTGAACTGGCAGAAACGAATGGAACTGTGAGAGTAGAATTAATTACCTAAAGGAGAAATAAAGAATTAGTGTCAGAGATACGGCATGGTAATGTGTTGCGAAGAGAAGATACTTTGGAGTTTAACACAGGAGACTATATGGGACCACAGAGACAAAGGGCAGATCTTACCAGATTCTTGTAGTGGTGGCATTGCAGTCACCTTCCAGTTTATGGCACCTTCTACACAGCCTTTCTCTCTTAGAGGACAGAGGTAGAGTAACCAACGGAACAATTAAAGAGTTTACTTAGAACAGACAACTCTATTTGCTTCTCAACAATGATTGGATATAGGTAGCAAATTCTTTGCTCATTTGGAAGCACAAGTAAGGAAAGATCAAGTTGGAAAACCCATACTGATGTCTTGGCCCCAGCCTTGCTCTTCCCCCTAAGACATTTTTTTGACGGAGTATCTTTTACCTTGCTCTTTTGATCAGATCTTAGCTGATTGCACATTCAGAAACTGGCAGAGTGTGCGGGGCAGGGGGGCACTAACAGGTCTCTGGAAGGCACTATAGGACATTTTAGGGATATGAAAAGAATAAGAATATGTAAATAAGAGAACAGCTGGCAAAAGAATTTAAAAAGTCCTGGAAGACTAGGGAGTATTGGGAAGGGAATGAGAAAGGACAGAAATGATGGCCTCAAACTTTCTTACCATTTTTATCTATGGCAGGATCCTCATGTAGGAAGGTGATGGGATGAATTTTATTAACTCCGTGCATTTGCCTAAATACACACCTGTGTTCTTCAGGATATTTGGACTAAATTAGAGTCTGGTGCCTGGGAGGAAAATAGTTCTTAATTATAAAAGATCTCTTATTTACACATCTCTTTAGTAGTACACATTTAAACATCTGGTTACGGGAAAGTCTGTGATGAGTTGGTACAATGTGTTGAAAGGGTCACCTTTAAAGAAAGATGCTTGGGAGGATGGACCGCCCCGAGATAGAAAAGATTGCAAACAAACTCTTTCTTACCCATCATTCCATTAAACCCCAGGTTTAATGTGGTAGCAGGGTGACCATTGAATAGTGTTAGGGAGAGTCTTGTCCCTAGTCTAGAGAAGAAACATGCCATGGTAGAAAGAGCATGGACGTTGAGTCTTGACAGACCTGGTTCAAATCCCACCCAAAACATTTAGCTAAAGGTCATGTGACCTTAACAAGTTGCTTAATTTCTCTGAAACTCAGCTTCTTTATCTATAAAATGGGAGATGCTCCAGACACTGTGCTAAGTCCTATATATGTGTTCTCTTATTTGATTTTCAGAACAGCCCTGTGAAGCAGGTACTAATAAACCCATTTGACAGACATGGGCACTGAGGCACAGAGAGGTTGAGAATTGCTCAATGTCGTGCCCCTCAAGGATTCTAACTTGGTCAGGCTGACTCCATAGCATATGCTTTTTTTTTTGAGATAGAATTCACATAACACAAAATTCACCCTTTCAAAGTATACAAGTCAGTGGTTTTTAGTATAGTAAGTACAGTAAGAAACCTCATGCTCATTCATAGTCCCAGATCCCATGCTCTTCGTCACTGTATTTTACTGTCTCATTTGCAGTGCTGTTACGAGGACGAATGGTAATATGTATAAGCCCTAGCACAGTACCTGGGCATAGTGAACAGTGAGAAAATGTAGTGTGCATTTACGAGTGTGTTAATGGCAATTCTTGCCCTCACATTTCCACCCAAATTTTCTTATTGGCCCACAGTCACCTTCCTGAATGATGTTTGTTAACGAAGAATGAAACATGGGGAAAATAAAACATAATCCAAATAGTTTATTTTCATGTGGAAGGAACAGAAGTGAAAGAGCTCTTTTAGTGAGCTCAAATATCATTGGAGAATGTGGGAAAAGCTTTTTATTTTTATTTTTTAATAAGACATAGATTCCTTTCACAATTCAAGTCCTGCTTGCTTTAAGAACTTGTTTTTCTACTTAATGTTTCACTTAAAGTTACAAAGAAAATTCACTGGGATCTTTGCCGTAGAGCTTTTACATTTCATGAATCAGGTATCTAAAGCAAGATATTGATCAGATGTTAAACATTAGTTTTACTTTTTGGATATAATGACAGTATGACTTTGTGGCATTAAGCAAACTGATATACTTCATTTTGTTTAGCTGCCCTTTTTGTAAAACAAGTTAATTATCAACAGTTATAGTTTAATCAGATTTGAATTACAAGGTATAATGTTTTTAATTAGAAATTTATTACTGGAAAAACATTATCATGAATAGTAGAAAAATTCCCCACCATGGACCCAGAGCCTAAAGCAAATGACACGATATTTAAATAAAAATTTAAGAAAGACCATATGTAAATATATATAACAACAAAAATATTTTTTTTAATCCAGTGGTCACTATGAGCCAGTGAAATTTCTTGCCAGCTTGAAGATTCTTTGAGTATCTTCATGAGGGGTGTGGAGAGTTTCTGAGAAAATTATTCAGTATATTTTAATATGAAAACTTTCTACTGTGTGAACCTTAAAAATCCTATTACGAAATGGCAAGCCTATATCCCTTATCAAAGTAAATTGCCTAAAAATATAGTTTGGCATAAGCAAATAATGCAAAGTGAATAAAGAAAATGTTATTATAAAGCCTTATTAACTGTAGGCTTTAAGAGATGTAAGGGGCACCTGGGTGGCTCAGTCGGTTAAGTGTCTGACTCTTGATTTCAGCTTAGGTCATGACCTCGCAGTTTGTGAGATTGAGTCCTGCGTTGGGCTCCACACTTACAGTGCAGAGCCTGTTTGGGATTCTGTCTTTCCCTGTCTCTGCCCCTCCCCACCGCCCCCCCCCCCCGTCTCTCTCTCAAAAATAAATAAATAAACTTAAAAAAAGGAGATTTAAAAGGCATATCAACTAATGTGTAGACCTCATTTTCATCTTGAGTCAAATAAACTATAAAGAATTATATCTGTGAGAGAATTAGAAATTTTAACATTGAATAATTTATGTTAAGAATCTACTGTTGACTACATCAAAGTAAAAAGCTTTTGCACGGCAAAAGAAACCATCAACAAAAAGAAAGGGCAGCCTCCTGAATGAGACAGATATTTATTTGCAAATCATACATCTGATAAGGAGTTCATTCCAAAGTGTATAAAGATACAACTTAATGTACAAAAAAACCCAAACAACCTGATTAAAAAGTGGGCGAGGACTTAATAGACATTTTCCAAAGAAGACACACAGATGACCGACTGGCAGGTGAAAAGACGATCAGCTTCACTCATCATCATCAGGGAAATACAAATCAAAGTCACAATGAGATATGACCTCACACCTGTTAGACTGGTTAGCATCAAAAAGACAAGAAATACCAAGTGTTGGCGAGGATGTGCAGAAAAGAGAACTCTTACATACTGTTGGTGGGAATGTAAATTTGTGCAGCCACTATGGAAAACAGTTTGGAGGTTCCTCAAAAACTTAAAAATGGAACTACCATATGATCCAGCAATTCTACTTCTGGGTGCTTATCCAAAGAAAACAAAAACACCAATTCAAAGATGTATATGCATCTCTCTATGTTCACTGCAGCATTATTTACAATAGCTAAGATATGGAAGTAACCTAAGTGTCCATTG